TAAACTTAAAAAGTGAACCAATAAGTATGATGACCTTATTCAAACATTATTATTTGTGTTAGTAATTGGCTTGACACAAACAATTATAACTGACGGAATTGACTTTTCTCTTATCTTAAAACGCATCTGCCTCTCAGTTTTCATGGGCCTTTCATATATATATATATATATATATATATATATATATCTCCTCCTTCCTTTCTCTTTCACGAAATGGATTAGACCGTTGCCGGTCTATCCCTTCACACGATATCAACCAAAATCAAAATAGTTCAAAGGGAGGAAGGCTCCCCTCTCACGGGTGCTACAGTATCTGCCATTTTCCCAGTTTTGCTCTCCAATGTTTCTTTCTTACTTTCTTATGTTAGTAATGACTTTTTGGTCATTTTGCTGCCAAAATACCTTGTCCATTGTTCACAGAGAATGTTTTCTCTATTTTGCCCTCTGTCTTTGTGTCTCCCTCTCTCTTGGAACATGGCTTTTGGGTCTTTTTGCTCTTTTTTACAGTGGTCTGCGTTTGATTCAGCGTTCTAAAAAGGTAAAAGCTTATTTTTAACCCCTCACCTTATTAAATTTGAAAATTTTAGTCCATCACCTTATATTATAACATTTTAATCCTTTACCTTATTAGATTTGTAAGTTTTAACCTCTCATCTTAAATTATAACACTTTTAATCAAAGAAGTCAATCCCGTACCGTACCGGCCGGTACGTACCGGTTTTGACACTTGACTGAAATGGTACAACATCAAATTTCGTTTCGGTCAAAATTCGATCGTTCTGGTCAAAATTCGGTGTACCGATCGTAATTTTGTGTACTGGCCGACACACCGAAATATGACCGGTACACCTAAGTTCAAACTAAAAAAAAAAAAAACAATGGATTTCCGATTGTAGATCTGTTTCTGTTCTCCTTCTTCATCACGAACGACGAACGCCACATGCCGCACGCCACGAATGTCTTCCTCAACCTGTCGTTGGTGGGTTGGAAATTCAGTGAATGCTTCGCTTCCATGATTACCGGCTAGATCTGCTTCATCTTCTCCCCATTTCTGGTAGCTGTCGAACCCTTCTACTTTGGTGATTACCGGTGATGAAGGTGGAGGCTGTGATGATGATGAGATGCTCAGCAAGGGGATGGTGAAGATCCAAGGTGAAAGAACGGAGGTGATGGTGGCGATGGTGGATCTGTAGAAGGGATAAAAATCAAGTTTTCTTTTCTGTTTTCTCTTTCCTTTTTTTTTTTTTTTTTTTTTTTGTCTTTTTGGTGTGGCAGCCGCACCTCCTCCTTCTCCCTTTAAAAGGAGGGGACTAGGGTTTCTTAAATTTGGGTTTTGATGTGCTGCTCAATATTGGGCTGGGCTTATGGGTTTATTTTAGTAAATTTCATCCTCAGTTTTTAAATTTTTTCAATTGAGTCCTTTTCTTGTTTTTTTTCTTCAACTTCTCCCCAAAATTTTTCATAAAATATTTTTATAACGATAAATCCGAAACGGTACGCGAAAAATTTCGGTATCCGGTATGTACCGTTCCAATAACAAAACCGGTACGGTATTGACTACTTTGCTTTTAATCCCCCACTTATTAAAATTCAAGAAAATAATTCTTATTTTATAATATTTTATTAATTCTGTTAGCTGATTATTAATTCTATTAATTGACTGTTAGTTGATTATTAGCTGACTATTAGCTTACAAAAATCTTTTTTCAACTAATAGAATTAACAAAACTAACTTTATAATATTTTATTAATTCTATTAACTAACTATTAATTAACTGTTAGTTAATAAAAATTTACTTTCAACTAATAAAGTTAACAATAAGTATAAAGTGAAAGTCATTTTTTTTTATTTTAATAGGTAAGAGGTTAAAACTTACAAATCTAGGAAGATAAGGGGTTAAAAGTGTCATAATATAAGATGGGCTAAAACCTTCAAATTTGGTAAGATGAAGGGCTAAAAGTAGGTTTTTGCCGTTCTAAAATTGGTCTTCAATCGTCGATCATGAAAAAGGAAAATCGCGTTCCCGGATGCGGTGGATTCTGAGATTTGAGTAGCTGAATGGCAATCCTCCCTGTGGTTTTGCATTCAGTCATCATTGTGAAACGTCAAGGAGTGTTGCTTTTCCTTTGGTGCTTATTGCTTGGTACGTTTCTGCGCTTGGAGTGGATCCTAATGTCTACTAGGTACATGTTTTTTGCTTTTCATTTTGAATTCTTTCTCTTGTGCAGGTTTTGGGTTTCAAGAATTAAGTTTATTATGAGAGGAAAACAGTGGTTTTTAGGATTTGAAAGATGGGTTTTTTAGATCGACCAACTTCAACTGTTTTGGGTCTTTAGGTAGTTTCTCTAATTCACAGATTGTTCTCCTGTAATTTCTTTTGTGTGGACTTGGCTTGCGGATTTGATAATGGTAGCAAGAACAGGTTAAGAAA